TTATCGAGGCATCTCAATCAAATGGCCAAATTGTTTTATTTAGAAAAAATGTTGCTGACTTACGCAAGTTCCTCTTTATCATGAATTACCGAAATCCACATAGAAGAATTCAGTTTACAAATAACAAATTTGATATCGTTACTTGGACAATGATAGAAAAATTTATGCGGGAGCATAATTTAAAAAATCCACAGGAGGTGTGGTTGCAGAATGTACGAGAAATAGTGGATACCCCACATGAAGATGTTGAAGACAACCCGAGAGTTTTTATGATAGATAAAATGGATTACAAGTTGCGTATGATCGATCGTTTTCTCGCAATTTGGCAAGCCGGTGAAAACGATGCGATGAATTTATTATGACCACCAACGCATTTGGAATCTTTGAAGGCATAAATATGACTACTCCAATGGGTCCAATTCAGAAAGCCTTTCATGAGTTTTATGTCATCTCCCCAAAATTATTATTGGTCCTTTGTGATGGTATATTTCGAGGTGGTATGTTTGAATTTAAAGATCCTTTATTTGGAATCAAATATCGATCGATTTTTGAAGATGTTCCTCATCCACCACCGATTCCGGACTATGTAAATATCTCTCAACTTAAATTAAAACGCGACGGTGAATCTGATGATAAATTTGACTGTTTGGAAAAAGATTGGTGGGATAAGGAAACAGGTATCAAAAGGCAACCTGATGACAAATTTACTTTTACATTCGTTAAAGTCAATTCAGCCACTGTTGACCTCGTAAATTCTATTTTGCTTAATGAGGCAACTCCAGACCTACAAGTATCATTTCTTTCCCTTTCATACCTTTATAAGACAATAGTTAAATACAATAAAAGTGTTAAGGACACTAGTACACTGAAAAATTTCTCAAATATGAAAAAGACCTTGTTCAGGGAATTAAATAGAACTCATGAAGAGGACTTAAATCTCAGAAAAAATATTTCTGCCGGCAATAGGCGTTGGAATATATGCACATTGATTAATTGAAGATTGCATGTAAAGTTAACAATATATATTTTTTTGATTTAAACCATATTCTATAAGTTAGCTTTTTTTTATAGTGATAACACTTTTATTTTAACTATATTTATTTCTACATTACTATTATTTTTCTTTATTCTTTGCTATCGAATTATCACAATTCACTCTCGTTATAATGTAATTAGACTGAAAATTTTTCAATAAAGCGCATATTGAAAAAATAGTAGAGCTCAGTTGCACATGGAAAAGAGGAACTTGCGTAAGTCAGCAACATTTTTTCTAAATAAAACAATTTGGCCATTTGATTGAGATGCCTCGATAA